GTCTAAATTGAGCGGTAATAAGATTTGTTTTATATAAAATAAATTTATAGTTTACAATGTTAATATAACAGTAAGCCACATATTGTACACTATAAATTTATTTTATATAAAAAAAATCTTATTACCGCTCAATTTAAACCGTCATTTCTTTTATACATAAAATTAGTATTATATTATCAGTTTTTTATTTTTTATTACAGTTTCTTATTTTTCATTACAGTTTCTTATTAATCATTTACATATTAACAGTGATGCGAACTCTCGTAAGAATGTCGATTTTTAATAGTATCTCGTCGGTGGTAATAATAAACAACAGTATATATTAATTACAATTAGTTAAAGGGATGTCGGAGCTGTGCCTTCATTACTGATAAAGTTAATATTTTTTAACGTTTTTGTTTTTGTCCAATTTTTTCGTAGCAGTTTCACAAAATAATGCCTTTTCCACGATTAAAGTATACATGCTAATGTATCTTGGTGTATTTCGCCTCAATATAGCACACAACACTAAAAGTGAAAATGTATAGACAAATCTGTAATTTTTTATTTTTTTCAGCTTTAGGTACGAAATATACAGCGCCAGATACATTAGCATGTATATTTTAATTGTAAAAAGGAGTTGTTAAGCCTCAAACACAATGCGAGAGAACAGCAATAGTGACAGAAATAATACGATTTTACATTTGGTAATACTTGCACTTAACAAAATCAGACGAATACGTAAAGATGCTCCTGTTTTCAGACATTTTATTACACAATTTTCACATTCACACAAAAACAGGGTATTCAATTTTTTCGAACAAATTATACCACACCATGTCGCTTAGACCGTAAGATTATACTTTCATCTCTATGATATTGTAACATCGATAAGAAGGATCCGAAATGTTCGATATTATTTTTATATTATTTTATATTTCTTATATATTTTATATTTTTATGTTGTATTAACATTGTAAACTAGAAATTTGTTTTATAAAAAAAGTCTTATTACTGCTCGATTTAAACCGTTTTTTCTTTATACTTTGCATTGCAAAAAACGAGCGAAATCTAATTAATATGATTTTAATTTATCAGAAACTGTGTATTCCAATTTCAATGTATCCGATTTCTGATGAGTTGAAATTATTATTATTCCTATCGCTATCGTTGTTTCCTCACATTGTGTCTGGGGTTTTAGAATGCAGCTGAAAAGGAATAAGAAACTTTATCCTACCAGAAATCCGATACATCGGAATACATAGTTTCTAATAGGTTGAAATTTCGTATTCCTTATTCCTAATTTCTTATTTCTTCTATTGTGGCTGTATTCATATACCGTGAAACTGTTACGAAAAAATAAATTGAATAAGAATGAAAACATCAAAAACTAGTCTTATTAATAATACAGGCTGCTCTAGCATCCCTTTAATGCAGATTATAACATTATAGAAAAAAACGTAATGTAATATTGTGAAATGAAATAATGTCAAAATTAGTGTGCCCGATGAATACAAAAATTTGTAACTGGGCTACAAATTGTATATTTATTCAAAATGTTCACGTTAAAAAAAATGTAATCATATATTTATTTAAAATTTTGAGTTTTCAAAAATATTCACAAAAAACTATGATTATTTAACGAGTATTCCTATTTATTCAAAATATTCAAGCAAAATATAAACTGATAAAAAAAACTCCGATAAGCAATTATTATCCCTTAACTATAAACGGAACTTTGATGATTTTAAGTAAAAATAAATAAATTTTATTTATGTTTGTCGTTGTAATATTCAGATTTGATGAGAAAGAAAAACTTAGAAATTTTGAAAAATATTTTTGAAAGCAATATATTTTTTTATTTATAAATATCTAATTGATATGACATATAATTTTACATAAGTCGCAAATGAAGGTTTGAGATAACTTATAATTTTTAATTGAGATAAGATATTACTTTTATCTTCAATTTATTCAGCTATATACCGTGTCATGTCATTAATCTGCCAGCTAGCATCACTAATGGAGGATCACTCTGTCGCTTTCTTCGTTTTTATAGACTTCTATTTTCTCTTGCAAGCTATGTACAAAAAATACAGAGTAGAAATGAATAACAAAAATATTCGTAATCATATTTAAAAAATATTCAATCAAATGGAATGAAAAAGTATTTATTCGTTTCTTGATGAATAAAAAAGAAGTGTATTTGAATAGATATTTACATTCATTTTTATATATTTATTCGAATATTATGTGTATTTATCGGGCACACTAGTCAAAATTTTAATTATATATGAAGAAAGTACTATTTTTAGGAACCTCCTGTTAAGTGTGATCTAAATTGAAAATATCGCGCATGCAGTTCAAGACATCAAAGTGAAAAGACTGAATGTGAAGAAAGAATGCTTGTATAAAAAAACTAATTTTCTCGACGAAATACTTTACAATACGTAAAATATCGTTTTTAATACTTCTGTACAGCGATTCGCGTAATCTAATTAAATATTAAGAATTCGTGCAATCTTAGATAGCCATTCTTAAATATTACAAGGTATTACTTAAGAGAATTCTACATTCAAAATTGTTAGGCATATTATAAAAAAAATACTCTGCGCAGCAGAAAAGATAGACGTTAGCGGCAATATGTTAAATTTTTTTAATTTATTGAAATTTTAATTTAATATATTTTTTATATTTTAAAGAAGGAGTATTATATTAATTTTTTTTTCAAAAATATCGTAAATGGTGTTTTTTATGATATGTATTTGTCTAATGGAAATATAATTCCATTTTGATTTTTGGAATATCATCTATAATAGTTCTACTGTTTAAGTTGTTTTTTAATTGATATAAAAACTGTAGTAGAGTGCCTTTATATTCTACATTTTGTATTATATATTTTATATTTAATGTTACTAAATATTTTTTATAATTCAGATGTTGATATTTGATGAACCTGATGAAGCATCTTGTTAAATATTAAGCATTTTCTTTTTATCTTATATTTTTAATTCAAATTTAGATTTTCTTTTTCTATTTACAAATTGGCTGCGTTAAGCAAAACAACAGTTTTGTAACCGTTTACGAAGCAAAAACTTTTTTTTTTGCTTCGATGTTAAATAACTTAATGAAAAAAAATCGTACAGAGGTCACTAAAAAATCAAATTAAAAGGTAAAGATTCACTCTTTCGAAGAAAGTTATAAATCGCATTTGTGCGCAATTTTTAATTTGCGCCGTAAAATCTCACAAATTTCGTAAAATAATTTGAAATTTGTATCTTCATTTATGTTTGTATAACTTTATAAAATATTAGTAAGATCATTTTTTAAATAGCGACCTGAAAGTAGAGATTTCAAGCTATATTATAAAATGTTTTTTTTAAACATCTTGATGCGATAATTTTTGACGAAGCTATTCTATCTTGAGATTTGTTTTTTTTTGTAAGGTGAAACAGATGATCCTTTAATTTTATTGAGTAGTGTATTATATAGTTAAGACATAAATTATTTAAATTTGATAATTACATTATGTCGCAAATTGTTAGATTATTCCATTCGGAAAACTCATCTTTTCTGTGATAATGACAAGTTCGCCGTCTTTGCTATGCAAGAGTTCCGGCCAGTAAAGTTAACTTCGCATTCGTCATTTCTTTTAATCTAATCTATAAAAATCCTGATGCGATAACTATAATGTTAAAGTAAAACTAGCGCCAAAACTGCGGAGAGTATAACTGAGAATTATACAGTAGAAGAGTTATTTATTTGTCAACATCTGAATTTTAATTAAGGCTTTTACTTACTAATTTATTTTTTCATATATGTAATTTAAGTCTTTCTAAGTTTCGTTTTAAATTTGTTTGTTATTATCTATAATGTAAAGATTTATAAAAATAATATATTGATAATAAATATATATATAAGAGTAATCTTAAAATTAATGCACAATTATAGAAACTGATAGAGCTGATGTTTCAAAATTGACTGCCTGTACTGAAAATCTATAGTACACGTAACGTAAACTTTGGTTTAGTATCCAAATAGTATTTGGAATCAGCCTAAAAAAAAAGATTTTACTCTAGATCACGTGAAAAATTTGTTTTTCGTGTGTTTCAGCGCTTTATTTAGGAGCATAAAGATGACGGATATGTCACAAAAGATATCAATACAAATAAACAGCGAGATTTATCAATATGTTTTGTATAAGAATTTGTAAATTTTACACTATCGAACATAGTGATTATATCATGTGAGGCTATCACAAATGTTTTGTTTAAAAATGAGAGAGAGAGATAAGATATGATTTATTATAATATAATTATATAATATATGAGCGAGAATATAAAATTAATAACATATGCGTTATAAATACACAGTTGAAGTAAACGTCACTTTCTTATATCCCAATACGATTGGTATTAGCAAAACTTTTGTAAAGCGATTTTAAAAAAAGATTTTAATTGTTACAATTGGCACTTTATTTAAGCATATAAATACTTATTAGAAATATACTCACATCGATTTTCTCGTTTGATAATGAATATAACGCATTGCAAATGTAATGTAAGTTGTCTTTTATATGCTCACGATATCCTACTGAACTAATTAATGGTATATGAAATAAAAAAATGATTGCAACAATTTGAGGTTGTTTAACATCCTTTTATATAAATATATTTTTTATCTAGTTTCTTTTTTCATGATATAAATCAATATTTCTTTTAATATTATTTAAATATAATATAAATGTTAATGTTTTATTTTACATAGAGAGAGTGAAATAAAGAGAGCATATAAAATTGATCCTATATATTAAATCCTGTACATCTGCAGAGAATGAAAAATTTATATGAACTATTGAATTAGTTTCTTAATTTTTTAATAAAACCAACGTATACAATGATTTACTTAGTATTTTTGTGATGCATCATCGATATGTACACGTTGAAACAAAAGAATTAGTAATTCATAGAAATAATTTAACACATTCTTACGTAAATTATTTAAATAAATTGCAGAAAAACATTTGGTAATAGAAAAATTTTTTTCTGCTACAATCTTCAACTTTATAAAAATAGACTATGAAATACAGTCACAATTGCAATAAGTAATGATAATTTATGTATGATTGCACCGTTCTTCGTGTAAGAATCGACTACGTGAATCTTCCAGCCCATATTTGGATGCGTGAAGGAGTGATAATAAACCAGATCGGGCCATGATGAGTTTGGACTTATTACTAAAGTACCGCCTTCTCCTGATTCGCAGACTTGCACGAGCGTTCTGTTGAATTTTTTAAATGATGGGAAATTATCATCCAGTCTTCTGTCTCGACCGTTGTGCTTGCTTAAGCAAAGCGGCCCAACCGCGGTCGGTCGCGGTCGGCCTCTTCTAGTCAGTTCAACGCCAGCCAATACCCTGATCTTACTTTGCGCAAGATCACTGAGCGTATCATATCCTCCGTGAGGTTCATCGGTTATTATTAACGGATGATAAAGATCCGCGCTGTGTGGATTATTTCCACCGTGAACACGAAAATTGTACGTCAAGCCTCGTCGTAAATATAACTCTGGTATCAATGCGCCTTCGATATACCAAGCAAGACCTACCGATGATTTACCTGTGATTCCTTGATATCCTCGTTTCCCTCCGGAGGGCCCGATGGTTGCTTTGAAAGTTCTAACACTTCTGTCGAATATTTCTGTTTTTTGCCAAGGTTCTCTTGGGAAGATTTTGCGATTATGCTCTGTGAAATCGATGCACGTATTCTCGGGCTCCTTACGACTCAACTCGAGTATCACATCGCTTCTTGGATATACATCATGGAAACTCGGTTCGTTATTAGTTTTATCGAGCCTGCCCAAGGCCCACACCACGTACGCCGGTTTATCCGTGGGAAAATCTTTGTCTCCGACATCGGATGAAATAAGTGTACGTCGGTAGGTAATAATATTGATGTCATCCTCTCTCACCGCGGTGTAAAGCTGATTGCTGTCTAAACCACCGAGAAGCTCGTCTCTGCAAACTCCTTTGTACTGGCCCAAAACTTTTCCACATGGCGCCTTTGCTGTAATATTGTAATCCGTAGCGTATCCTCGTGTATCGTCCATGTACGCGATAGCCACATCTGCACCTTCCATTTGACTGGAGGTCTCGGAACCGGATAAACCAAACGCCATGTATTCGTCTTTGGCGACTTGACCTGATAATTGAATAGTGATCTGCGGACCGAAGATCTCCCAGGCGATCTGATATCGCTTGTGCAGCTGGACGCAATTCGGAAGAGACTGGGTTTGCTTGAGAACTTTTATCAATGACGGCGGTACATTGAGTCCATTGGGTATAATGACGGAACCGTAATTAGACTTAGTTTTTACGTCGTAAACACTCAGCCAATCTATGTTAAAAACAGTTTTATCGCCTGGTAGCTCCAATATGATATCTTCATTATTATATGACCTAAGAGAATCCAAGCTAGAAAGAGAAATACATTCTTTTACACATACTTCTCGATAACTTTAATTACATTGTGAGATATTTATGATAGGTTACAAATAAATTGATTTATTCGCGTTAATAGCACATTTTATAAGTTTATTTTATTCCTCTTACTATCCATATTCATCGGGTACTTTCTGGCCTTTGCTGGATGGTTGCGGGCCAAGACCGACCCAAAAGTACGTGTCCACACCTTGTCCGTCGTAGGTGAATTGTGGGATGCTGATAGTTTTCGCGTCCAGGATCACAATGGGTTCTGACGAGACATTGTGAGATCTTTTCGACAGTTGTGATATTTTTTGAGGCGTGGGTGGGTCAAACTCTTCCGGAATATAGACATCGCCGAAGGTGTTCTATAATTATAGAATTTTTAATTAAAAATATTTCAAATCATCAGACTCCATCTATGGACTTAACAAATCCTCGTTCTTAAAACTTTATCTTATATATATTATTTTTATTTATTGTATTCTATTAGATATTTAATAATATTGAATAAAATAATAGATACTGTACACGAAATTTTAATACATCGGTCATAAAATTTGTATTACCTGGCTCACTAAATCGTACACTGCGAACCATTTGATGTCCGTTATTTTTTTATTATCCGGCAAGATCAGTGTAAAATCCTTGTTAAAATAGCGGTCCAATATATTTGTTCTGAAAGAACACGCGTATACTCAAGATGCAATTTTGTACGTAATCTTAAAATCTTTTAGTTTTTCTTTTTAAATTAATGGAAAGAAATATAGCTTACTTGCCCCACTCATCAGGGACGATAAATCCTTGCGGACCTGGTCTATTTGATGCGCCTGCCCAAAAAAATGTATCGGCCCCATTACCATCGTAATTGAAAGACGTCAGCAGTAAAGTGTATTGATCCACAGCATAGACATCGCCAGAAACTTGGTGATGATACGAATTTAACTTTCCTAGATATTTTCCCTTGTATTTTTCCTCATGATCTTCTTGTGCATAAGCTGCCAACATTATTTGAAATATTTATTCATTTACCCAGAAAGCACAGAATATTTATAATAAATATTTATTACTATTTAATTTTTGAAATGTTATATAAATATATTTTATACTATTATATATATAAAGCTTTATATTCAAAATATTATTAAAACGTAGACTAAAAATATCTTATGTAATATTTATGATAAATATAAATATTTTTAATAAATTCTTTTTTACTTTGATTAGGTATAATGTCATTAAGTGTATAATATTTTCATAGCATTTACTGTAACATATACAATAAATATTTCATAATAGTTGTAACAAATGTTTATGATCTGTATACAATCTAAGACCACAAAAATTTTATATATATAACATATTTTATATATAATTATATATAATTATACTTATATGAAATTTTTCTCAGGGATAACAAATAAAATATAATTGTTTAATATTGTAATATTACTTTTGGCTTATGTTTTTTCACAAATTTAAATGTTTATAAAAGTTCATAAAAATTGTAAAAAATAATTCTTTGAAAAAGATTTTGAAATAAATTTGTTCCAAATAATTCAATAGCTTTAATTTCAGATTTTTCCGCGCACATAGAACCGTATTCGTCGGAAACATCGATGCCGGGTAAAGCGATATGTCTCCGGATTTCAATTTTTTCCCGAGACTTAGTCGATCTCCTTTTTCACAAATACGTATTTTCTATAATATGCGTCACAATTATACTGCCGGTAATTACCGTAAGAAAAAAACAAGCATCCTAGAAGTGTCACAAGGGCTCTTGTTCCCTTCTTTCTCACGACACCTGCCATCGCTTCATTTTCCTTCCAAGTACTCCAAAGCGTGTCGTTGACTTCTTATCGGGATCCACGAGAATGCCAATAGCGAGAAGCTGATGAAATCAACAGATGATCGGGATACTACGTACAATCGTGGTGATTCATTGATCATAATCGGACGAGTCGGACTAAATCCTTGGATGAGCGATCCGACGTGGTCGTTACCAGTCGTTTACACGTGCGATAACGGAGGGTGCAGAACTGCGTGTATCACGGTGAATTCACTGGACGCCAGGCTGATCCCCGTCGTCTCTCGCGGCGGAAACGAGCGGAAACGCGACTAGAAAGCCAAATCGGCCTTCGTGGGACGCGGTTCCACGCACAACCGCTACGGCTGCACATTCCCCGAGAGAAAGTACAGCTACGCGGGGAACCAATCGACAATGGAAGAACGAATTCGTTCCGTGGTTGCGGTCATTATCGTGTTATTCACCGGAATCCAGTTCGCGAGGACGACAGACTGAGCGAGTCCTTCGATAAAACTGGTTTCTCTTAAACAAAAAACAACAAAATGCAATTGCACACATCTTCGTAAAATCTCTCACGATATTCAAAATACGCGAATCTTTTCTCTGATTTTCTTCGAAACATTCGAAATAGTCGAGAAAGCGGAAAGTTTCTTTTAGCTGCGTTACGTTGCGCTTTTCGCGCTTATTATTGAAATGAAATAAAAATTATGAAGAATTTAGTGAACAACAGTTTCAAAAAATCCAAAAAATAGAAGTATCCCTCGCGGGCATGAAGTTTTAATTCGTAAGCCTCTCCTTTATATAAACGCGTTATTTTAATTCAATATTAAAGAACAATTGAAAATGTATCGAGTAAATATCTGGTTTAAAGAATTCACACATTTCTGGATTAAATCACTCGAATCTGTTTTAATTTTTTTTCTATTGTAAGCACAATAGGCGTTAGATTGAGTCGCGTTAAGCGTAATATATTCTATATGGTCAATAAAGTTTTATATGTATATATTTAAGCCTATTCTACAGTGTACTCTTTTTTTGTTTTTCATTTTTTACTTTTTTTCTCTCTTTACGGCCGTTTTATCGACAATTGTGTGTTTCTTATTCTTTTCGAAGTTCATTAACTTTTATCTCGAGCGATAGAAAAACGGAATAAAAAGTAAAAAGACGAGATGTGAAAAATAACAAAAGGAGAAAGAAAGAGAGAGAGAGAGAGAGAGAGAGAGAGAGAGAGAGAGAGAGAGAGAGAGAGAAAGAAGAAATAGAAAACAAAAAGGGGACATTGTAGAATGAGCTTTAAAAGGTCGAATAAAGCGTTCCTCTTTCCCTTGAAAAAATATATATATATATATTTGAAGAATTTCTTACCACGTTTTATTTCATATGTAATAAAAAAATGCTATACTACAAGATTCAGGTACTACGTATACGTTGAATTATGTTTCTTATTCATTTTAAAGCATTAATTTTTTATGATCGATGGTATGTTTCAATGATATAATTTCGCTAAATGAAAATATTTTGTTATACTATGTGTATATTAAATATATATTACATATTGCTCTGTGTGTGTGTGTGTGTGTGTGTGTGTGTGTGGCACGTGCGCGCATGTATATGTGTGTGTCGGATAAATATGAATTATTACCGCTATGTTTCTATACGGTATAACTTCACTAAATTCAATTTCTGATGCTACAAGATCATAGTGTAAAAAATTTTAACGTAATTCAATTATTGTCGAACATGGCTAAGAATCGTGACTATATTTGTATTTAAATACGAAGTCAAAAGAATTATACTAATATTAATCTAATTTCACATTTATAAGAAATAGAAATTGAAACGGACAGATCATTGTTCTAAAGAATATGTTTTTGTATCTATGATATGTATAATGTGTACAAAACACGTACAGAGAGATTCAATATCCTTTTGTACTATTTAGTCATGTCGTCAAGTTAACGATATACGCGAGTAACGTTTGTGTGTTACGTAAAACAAATCAGATCTTTCATTATTTGTAATACTATGCGATATAATGATAAATAGGTCATAAATCCGAGTCTTATTATGCAATTTTACTAAAAAAAAGAAAACACATTATTGTAATACAAATTTTAACGCAACTACTAGAGATAATACAATTAAAGTATGAAACGTATCTTCTTTTTTTTTTTTCAAAAAATAAAACATTCTAAAACTTTCTCACTTAAGAATAGGTGTTTTTAAAAATTAACATGTAACTTTAAGAACTATCTCTTAGATTTTGTTAAAATTTGCTTATTTTGTTTTCATCTTAATTACTTAAAATCTAAGTTTGTAGTTCATTCTTGTAAATCATTATTATATATATATATATTAACAGTTTTATGATAAAGCTGTTTAAATCTAAAATGCAACTGAAAAAGCATTTGATAATAGAAAAATAAAAAAGTTTACATTTAAAAAATGAATTCGAAAAATTTATAAAATTTTATAAAAATTACACTAGGTATATTTAAAATTACATTATTTATTTGGGCAATTTTACAGATATCTAATTTATTCGTAAGTGCAAAATGCAATATGTATATTTTATTTATTCTTCTAAAAACTTCTAAAATAAACAATAACGAATAGTACAATATAATTTATCAATTATTATTTCTTTTGAAATAAAAATTTGACAATATTTTTTTATAAAATAAAATTCTTGTCAAATTCTTATATAATATGTTATGTATTACAAGTGTATTTTGTTAATATGTAAATTCTAATCCTGCTACAAGAATGATAGTAAAAAATTTTTGATAAAATCTGTGAGATAGCTCTTATGACATGTATCGCTCATATTTACGAAAATGAAACAGCATTCTACAAGTAGGTGCTAATACTACACATTAGATATAACGCTAACACTTTGAGATAAATCTACTTGGCCCCTCAATACTTTTTGTTGTAGTCTCTTGCAAAAGATTTTTGCCATAAGCTTATTCCGACGTGCTTCCTCTTGTCGTTCTTGTTGTCGCCGTTTAAATCGCACTTCATTCAGTCGGAGATATCGTTTACGTGATCTCTCCTTCATCTCCTCATCGGTAATCTTTCGCTGCGTGTAAACTGCAATAAAATATTTACGAAAAATTAAAATGGCTCAAAAATTGAAATGATCAGAGCTATAATTTGTAATTTTTTTTAAGTATAAAAAAATATAAATTATTAGCAACACAAAGTTTTCTGTAAAACAGTTATATGACTAGACAACAATTAGAAAATAAGGATCCTAAATGGTCAAGCTAGATCTTTAGTGCTGAAATAATTCTGTGAATTTGTATACTATACATGTATGTAGTTATAAAATTACTTATTTTCGGTCGTTCTGAATGAACCCAGCGTACTTGGGTGCGATCCATTTCATGCTGTAAATACTTTGAAACATTTGATTGATCAATTCGTAAAATTCTTTCTTCTGACTGATCAACGAAGCTTTTGCAGCATTAAATGGATCACATCCAAGTAGACTGGGTTCGTTCGGAGTGACTCCGAGCAGCTCCCGAAAGACAAAACGAACAATACTATTTATAAGTAATTTTACCTGTTGGCTTTCGTATTGGCGCAGATTTAATAACGTTGGACATACTAGCTATCGCCAATAACTGTATTCGCTTTTCTTTTCTCAATTCACGCAATTGGCATATTTCCGACAAATACTGTCGGCGTGTTTCCGCATTGCCCACAAATTCAGGATTATTCCTAGATAAATAATCCTAAAATAGGTTTAATGTTATTAATAAAAACTGTGTGTAATGTACAGCATTATCTATCCTTTTTCAACTAAATAATTTTAATTCGGAATATTGACATGGTAAATAAAGATTATTTCAAGTAATTAAATTTAATATCCAAATATCTCATTTATTAAAATAAATCAAATTTTTACCTGTAATGTACTCGTTTGATGAAGACCCTTGCTGGCGTTATTTCTTTTCATAATATCGCAAGGGCAGCCATCAGATTTTGCTATATTTGACGGTTGTTTGAAGACTTTTGGCATATCTGAGATTTCATTTTTCGAGGCATTTGCTTTTGTAAACGATAATTCATACGCGACAGCTTTGGGATACGCTTGACGACAACTACATTTTTTAGTATTTTGATACATGGCACCACACATGCGGCAATGTTTGTAATTTCTCTCAGTCTCATTAATACTGGTATCGTCCACGTAATTTGGTTTGGATATGTAACTCTTGCACGCTTTCCCTTTGACAACGTCTTTCGCTTGATTATTACTACAGGAGCAAGCCTCACCACAATTGCATTTTAAGTTACTTTGTACTTTACGTTGTTGATTCACGTCGCTATTCTGCGAACTGTCAGAGTAAATTTGTGCCTGCGGTTGACGCTCTCCTATCTTTAAGTAACAGTCAAAACGGCGCAAGCCATTATTGTCGATTTTATCGTTCGTATAACATTCGCACAGTGTTTCTGTGGTTCCCGAATTATGGCATGTAGCACAATCTTTTGTGCAATTACAAATCTTTCCCGTGTCGCTCTGTTCGCTGTAATTTAGCGCGCGCATTCTATTCTGGCTTTCCGCGTTGTAGTTTTGTCGAGATTTTCCAATGACAATCCTTCTACCCGCGTCATTAGCAGAGACGTCACACTCGCAAGCATTTCCACAGGTTTGTTCTATCTCTGAAATGTTATCGTGAGTACAGGAAGGATTCTTTTGACATACACTGCAAACGGTATTATTAACATCTATAACAGGCTTTTGTTTGAAACACAATGGACATGTCGTAAATGATCGTTTGTAATATTCAGTCCGTTTAGCTTTAACGATGTTCGTACCGCCCTTGTTATCAACTGTGGACGGATAAACGCTATGTGCACAATTACATTTTGATTTTGACGCATTGATTTGATTCTTAGTCTCTTTCTGTTTTGGCTGGACGCTGCTACTTTGCGACGTACGATGATGAACCGACTCTGTTGCGCTGTTATCGCTCACATAATTCGTTTGTGTCTGCTGCGAGACGGCTGGTACGTCTTCTGGATGACCCTTTCGTGATCTGATCAAAGCAGTTTCGGATGAACTCTGTTTACATCGTGCGCACGTCTGTTGTACAATCGAAGTGGAGTGCGTTTGACACGACTGATCTCTGCACTTGGTACCGTTTTGATAATGCGCACATGGCTTTTGAGGATTCGCATTGTATATGTCGGACTCTGCCGTCACCGATGTTGATGATGTTTCTCGAGATAACGTCTGCACGCCGACTGTGAGATGCTTCGTTGCGGATCTCCGCGTTCTGCCGGTAGACACGATCTCCCCGCCGGTCTTAGAATAAGCACTGGTCACGCCTATGGCGGTTTGCGTGCAACTATTGCGTTTCATGATCTTCTGGACCATATTATCGCCAGCGGCTTCACACGCCGCCAAATTGCAGTGAGACGACCATGGTTCGTTAACGGAATCTTCCCGCAAATCAGACACATTCCTGAAAATGAAATTAAACTGCGTTAAATTGTAGAAATTACAGTCACTACATTATAATATTAATATTCGGTTCTTATATTTAAAACTTTTAAGTACAATCTTAAGATATCATAAACCAATTACAAGGTCATATTAGCATCTTAATCCTAGCCATATATACTGAAGTTCCAGCGCAATTTGCTAAATCAAGATTTTTTTCGCGTTTCTAAACTTTTTTTTTCTTTGAATCTATATATCTTAAAACTTCTTGATTCTATCAATTTTTATGTGTTACGGACTTGTTCTTTAATCAATTCTTCATCGAGATTGAAAAAAAATTAATTGAAATATATCCATTTTTACGGAAGTTACGGTAACAAATATGAATGAGGTCTCAGGAACCTGAATCTGTATATCAAGAGTACAAAAAACAAGTGTGTATAGTTAGAGTTAAGATGGTTTTAAAATAAAAAGCAACTGTAAATATCGGCTTAGTTAGTACAATACAATTATTACAATATACTATAAACAAATATGAGTTACCTCTGCATGGCATCCGCGTGTTGTTCCCGCCTAAGTATCGCTGTCTGCTTTGACTTGAGATTAGCCGATTTAGATTTTCTTGGTGAGGATTTTGGTCTTTCCAATCGCCTGGGTTGTTCCAGCAATCTAGCAAATCGAGTGAAATCCAAATTTAAAAATATAGAGTACACAAAAAAGGAGTTTGCTAAAACGGAAAAGTTAGAAAACAGTAGGAGCAATACATACTTTTTTAAATTACAGAGATGGCTAATCTCGTTTGTAATCCAAATAAGTTGGTTCCTTTTCTCCATCTCGGCGTAATTAACGAGCTTGGAATCACCGGATTCGGACATGCTGCACTTCTTCAATTCAAATTGCCTTTCAGACGACGTCGTTGGTAATCTCCAGTCGGTATTATTATCCGTGTTATTGTTGGACTCGACTGGCGTTCTTCTGTTATTCACGACGGCGTCCAGTAAGATCCTGTTGTGATCTGGTGGTATACTGTTCGTCGTGGTCGACTCTCTATGCGGTAATTTGCAGTTCTCCTTGAAACAAAATATATCGTTTACCTTAGCGTTCTTATGATTACGTTGAGGCACAAAGCATTCGGAACTCTCGCTCTTATCGGGATCCGTTGGTGTATTGCTAGTCTGCTGACAGTCATCCGTTCTCAGTCCTAATCGCGCTTTCCTTCCGTCCATTTCCGTTCGATCTGTATGTCGGTCGAACTTGTCGCTGTTACTACTCTCTAACGCGACTTCCTTTATGACGTCGCTGGTAGTCCCCATCGACTTCTGCATGGACACGTCCTTCTTCTGCAGGTTCCACTCATCCGAGGACTCAGTGGTGCTATGCTTGTTCGTCAGGGCCTGAAGCAGTTCGGCCCGGTATACCTTGTTCCTGGCATCGTCCGGATTCCAGGGAACGTTATCCTCCAAATTATGTTCTATCTTGTCATCTGTATACTTCGCAGTTACGAGTCGCTTAATCACATGCTGTATCAGTCTTTTCTTAACCTGCTTGTCGCATTTGTTAGCGTCGACGAGACTCTTCAAGATGTTAACGCTTCTCTCCAGATCTCGAACCAAGCTGTCCGAATCTCCCCAGAGCTTATCGTTGACACTGGAACTGCTGTTTGGCAATGTCGAGTTTGACCTACCGGTGTCCGAGGAAACGCGACTGTCCCTTTCGTTTGGAACGTTCGCGTATGTATGCCCCGGAAAATACTCGAAACTATTGGCTCTCCCGGATACGTTTTCCGTCTCGTCGGGTTGCGGTGTCGCCGAGGTGGATGCATTCTGCGAGATGTCCGAGCTATTTTGACGTTTCTGGCTCTCCTTCGTGTCCGCGCTGACCTCGGCGTCGCCTGTCGAACGTGAAACGTCGCATTTTCTTGGATTTTTAACTTTATATGTACCTTTAGACCTTTTCAAAATAGAATGTATCGCCGTTTGCAGATTAGGCTCCTTCTCCACTGTCGACGGTTTCGCCTCTTCGAGATCCGAAACCTGCACGCCAATGGATTCCTGAGTGCACACATCAGGACTTGTTTGTATCACCTTGTCGCAAGTGGCGGGTTTATTCACTACAGTAGAGATGGAGGACGTGGAATTAAAGATTAGAGGAAATACAGTTTTTCTCTCTTTAGCATGTAGATTTACTTCGCTCTGGCTCCTCTTCAACGAACATTTTGATGATAACGGGGGGGATATTACGTTCATCGAGATGCTCTTCTTCAATGGCGAACTCGATGGACGAATGACTTCCTTGCGTTTATTTACAATCCTTTTCTCCACCGTCGAATGTTTCGCTAATGGAACTTTAAACGCCGACGTGGGCGTGTCGTGTATCTCCAATCTGGTAGGCCTTACTACAGCTTTCAATTGCACTGAGTCACTTGGAACGCATCGCTCTTGCGACTTTATGTCATCTCCCGTTATAATGCCTGGCAAATGACTCTTTACAATAGGTGTTATCTCTATCTCGCTCTCTGATCCCGAAATATTTCCAATTAATGGCGTGGAGTTCGCGTCAGGAACCGTGGACGCTTTTGAACCACTCTGCGTCGTCGCGTTCTTCCCGGATTGCATTCCGGATTCAGTAGTACCCTCTGGGTCTAACCGTAAGGCAGCGGAGCATCCTCGTGCTAGAGCCATACGTTCTATAGTGCTTAACTTTTTATCGTCTTGCTTATTATGAGCGTGTGAATTAAAGTAACCAACGTCTGCGCCGCTGTCCCACTCCAGTGGCTTATAGGATGCTACACTGGAGGTCGGAGATGACTGCTTTCTCTCATTCGCCTCTGGAAACTTCTCCTGACTCTCGTTTCTCTCCTCGTGTATCGTCTCAGGTGTAACACGCTTGAGATCAGGCGATGGTGTCTGGATATCTGTCAATGGTTGAATATACCTGGACGAGGACTGATCCAGAGGATGATCCGTGTTCGAGGACTGCCCGATCAACGGGGGTCTTATCCACTTGCGCCTTTCTTTCGGCGCGCAGGGCTTTAAATTGTACTCCTCTCCGACGCAGCCCTGCCTGCTGGAGGTATCCACTTGGGTGTTCAATTCGTACAAGCTGTAATAATACTTAATAGCCTCCTGTGGAGTATTTGACACAGGTAGCGAGAAATACTGATCCAAATTCGGATCTCGGGAATACTTGCGATAATATTCCATTACCTGCGCGGAGAGGCTCTTCTTGCCGGATAGGTGCGACCTGAACTTGGACGGGTCGACCGGCGGCGGCGGCGGCGAGTGGCACGAGGCCGAGGCGTCGTCGCATCTTTCGCGCGCCGGCGTCAAACGCGCCGACTCGTCCGGATTGTCCAAGTCCCTCAGACGACGGCCCTCGCAGCTGGATTCCGAGTCGTATTCCATACTAACTGCCTATGATACATTCTCTCGCACTCTCGGCCTTTCATCTCCGCGGGTATCGCCCGCGCGTTCAATCGTTCTGTAAACTCTCGCTGCTTGGCGTACGTGGCGAGCGACGGTCGAACGAAAACATTTCTAGCCCGCCGTAATACCCATAAAACGCCTCAGCGTCTATCATCAACAAAAACTTGTAGGTTATGATGCGGATCTGCGCGTCACTTCGTGCTTCGAATATCCACGTTGAGTTAGCAGTTCTCAGCGATTTCGTGACTTTTTCCGCGACGCAATGTTCGCTTGGTACGTCCGCTTTGCTACGCACTGCGTAATCTAAGATCCAAGTGATGACAGTTACAATTATTTACGTTACAACCACTGTTCAAATCAAATTCTTGTTTACATCACTCCTGTCCATCTATACACCGTAATCGGATGAGTTTTTGAACGCAACTCCATATTTCTTTAAATTCCCGCTCGATTACTGGATGGAAGAGAATAGTTTTGCGAACGCATTGTCATCACTTATCGTGTATTTGACGATACAGACGAACAGACTTCTTAACAGGACCGGCAGAATTGTTTACTGCGATGTTTCGAAAACACGAGGTTTCTGGAGATTGAGAGAAACATATGACGGAATGTTGGTCGCAGAGTCAGTCATAAGGACAATTATTTAATTCGTTCTCATCAGATTCTTGGCATTTTTTTTGGAGATCTCTGGTAATCTCAGGCATAAGTCTAAAAATTTCGCAATACTTTAACCGTGCGAAGCTTATTTTGTTTTTACGTCACGAAAACCGCGTGACGGAACGCGGTGCGACGTCGTCGGGTGTGCAAATTCCTATTCCTGTAGGAACTCGGACCCAAGCTTGAGATGCTGCCCATTCGACAGATCCTACGTTTTGGTGCACGTGTAGTACGCACTGGACATGCAGCATGTCATGTTGCAGTTTCATCCAAACCGAGCAATATCGGAGCACTCCGTCACGTGCGGCTCACTCACGAGGACAGTAGCACTCGCACAGAATTGGGCAAATTAGAGGGGAAATTGAGGCTGATGTTTACGTGCAAGAAATGTCAAACGAGAACAAGCAAGCTGATATCAAAGTTGGCGTACAATAAAGGAGTGGTGATAGTGAGATGCGAAGGTTGCAAGAACAATCACCTCATTGCCGATAATTTAGGATGGTTCTCAGAAATAAGTAAAAAAACGAACATCGAAAAAATCATGGAACTGAAGGGGGAAACTGTTCGAAAGATAATGAATGACGTAGATGGCTATTATGAGGCTGTTTCGAAAGAGGAGTTCAAGTCACAGAACAAGAATGATAGTGAGACAGAACCAGATGACGAATGCTCTGATAAAATTAAAATAACTGAGAAATCACAGAGAAGCTGAAACTCCTTTTGAATACTAATCCTTATCTTCCAAACAAAAGTAGAATAATAAGTGTATGCAAGTATAAAATGTTCTGTTATAAATTTATTACAGAATTTGTACGTTTATAATATGTAACATTAATGAATACAGCCACAAAATGTATGTAAGTTTTAAAAATGCTGAAAAAATCATATTAATTTAATTTAGTTTAATACGAAAGTATTGTTGCACTGGTTGGAACATCATTTTAAAACAACAAAATTCATCTGTAGATTCAAATTTACTGATATTTTCTGTTTTGTTTTTTACATTACTGGTATATTCGAAAAACAAAAGAAATAGAAGATGTACACATAAGAATCAATCTTACGCATATATATAGCTTTTTAAATATACTTATCTGTTAAAAATAGTCTAACAATACTTGTTCTAAAAATAATTTTTATCTTACATGTCTGTTCAATATATTTTAGAATTTATTGATTGGCGCAGTTCTTATGAATAATTATTTATTTATATATATATATATATATTAATCGATATTTCAATCAATGGTAGACCATTTGTTTGGCACAAAGGACATATTATTACAAATGGCTTCTTAACAAATTCTTAACATCATTGTGGTATTTTATATACTTTTTTTTAAAAAGACTACAAATAGAAAAAAATATATAAAATTAGGTATTTATTCTTATTTATATCATTATTGTATATGACTTGTAGTCATTAATTTAAGCATAATGAATAATAGTGGTTTCTATCGTATAAATGAACAGCCCATTTGCTTCGTAGATATTTGTAATGTATGATACATACTAGGTATGTATATACTAGGTATACACCATTTCATTTGATAAAAATTTGTACTTTTAACATTTTGGATCTTTTCAAATCCACAATATAATAATTTTGATAGAATTAATACCTATATTATAAGAGAGACAAATGATCGATTCGATCGCCGATAAAAACACTAATATTCATTATACATATACAATATATGTATATAAAATTGAGGCAGCATATAATATTAAATATCTAAAGTTTATCCAATTGTGATGATCTGTTAATTCACTGTTTAAACGAATCAAATTTATAACATGCCTGTATAGAAAATAAACGTGTTTTTGAATTGTTCAGAGATATAATAATAAACATGAATTATCTATATATATAATAATAGAGTAGAGTAAGAACAATAACAGTGATATAGTTGAGAGTAAATAATAGAAATAATAGCAATAAAAAATTATAATTGTAATATATGTAATAATAAATTTCTAAGTACACCAATACATATATTCAATATCAAAAGACGCGTTTGCACATTTATAATGATTTAGTATCATTTTGGCATCAATTAAAACATTTTTGTTTCTATAAGGCACTGTACAGGTATTTTGATAAATCAGTCGAATGTAGTTAAATAAAATACTAATCACTTTGAGCTTTCCTAATCAATAATATAGAATATGTATATTTCATACAAAGGTACGAATGTTTATGGAATTTTTGAACGTTTATACTTTTCTAGATATCTCGTATCTATAAGAGAAATTAAGACTAGTCTCTAAAAATAATGTAAAAAGAATAAAAATATGGGACAAATGTGACAATGCGAAAATAATGAAATTATTTTTATCATTTTGCAACGCGTGCCAATCATTTTATAAAGCAAGAGAAATACTTTTATTCTAACCACACACGGTATAGACTAGCATATTTTTCATATCCTTACAAATATGTAATTACAAAGAGATAAGAATTTTGTGTAGAAACGAATTTTTGTGGCATGGTCGTCGTATTTTGAAAGGATACTCGAATATATGGGTATTTTATACCCTTTTTGGTTTCGATACAATTGCATATTCGCTGTTGTTGAAAACTTTATGCTGTGGACCACCCGCGGTACCCGTGGAAGCTGTGTCGGAAAGATCCGGCTTCTTCCGAATAATTCCATAACCGAGATGGCTGTCGTCGGCTAGCCTGATACCGGACATATCTTCGACGAGCTCGTAATTAGACCACGCCGGATTAACAAGATTAGAACTTTCCCCGTGGGAGATGTTGGAATGTATGCTTTGCGAGGAATTCGTATACTTGTACGCAGACTTCTGACTAAGTTTCGTCGCGGACCCAAAGTGTTCTAATTTGTCGTAATCCGACTCGTCTGTCTTGGCGACACTTTGTATCACCGATGGCGTGATGATTGCGTTATCGCCGCATTTACTTTTGCACGAATTTTGGAATGCATCCTGATTCCGTATCGGCATCATGACTTCATACTGCAAATCGTCGTTATCGTTCTCCTTATCTCTCTCGCCAGGTAGACTTGAGTTTACTCTTTCCGTATGATGTACGCTATCGATACCGTGCGTTTTCCAAGCGTCATTCCTAATTTCCACTATATCGTACGAGTGCTTCTCCTCGTTCTCGCGCATAACACTGTTGATACTCTTGTGAGATAATTCCGGGGAATTACCTTGGCTTATAGTTCTATATTCTCCGCATGTAGGCAAATCTAGGAATTCCGTCGAGTCGAGACATTTTTTCTCGAGCAGATTAGGAAAAACGTATTTTCGTGGTGGTTTGGCAGGCTTGGACTTATTTATCGATCTGCTCGATGAGATTGTAGAATCCATACTCGACGACGAAGTCACGGGCTTCTGAGAACTTTGCGTAGAAAAATCTATATCGATCAAATTGCTAGAATTGTTTGAAGAGGGTGGTAAAGCCGCTCTAGAGCCAGGCTCCATAGATAGAGCTGCCTGGAATTGGGTGTCGTTGCATTCTACGTTTGGATTATTTTCCTCGTCCAGCAATTTCTTCATGGACTTCATTTTGGCATACATACATCGGAAGATCTCCTGTTGGCTACCATGCTCCAGACGGAAGGATCCCTCGCCGGACTCACATTTTCTCCCAGCCTCGAAGATGAACTTTCCATCTCTATATCCGTATCTCCTGATATACCTGTATGGCCATGTGAATAGAACAATGTCACCGTCCATCAACTTCATGTCCACGGCAGCAACAACCAAAGTATAGTTTCTCGTTTCCAGTCCACACCGCTTAGACGCATCCGTTTCTACAACTTTCACGGAAAAAACACCCTCTCCACTAGTGCAATACAGATCGTTATTTTCTTCTATTTGATTCGACACACTGTCCTTGAATGCGACTAATTGGAACGCTGTGATCCAGTGAGTCATCTCAATTTCCGAGTAACAGCCAAAATAGTGTATTCCTGATTTAGTCACTACCTGTGTATGATATGGACACATGAAAAACTATCGTTTTAGAGACAGTTTGCAGGGAAAAATTGGTTTAGACAGAGAAGCGACACAGAAACGAATTCAAGGGCAGAATAAATACGTACGGTAAAGACATGCGACTGATTGCTGGGTGCAATTTTTATACAGGCATCCAACGTGATGATACGTGGAGAGTGGGACTGCATTATCGCTTCTTCCTGATTGTCATAGATCTCGACGCGTTTGATCCCGTAGTTACTCGTTCTGAAAAGCTGACAAAACCTCTTGTGCCAGGTTTTCTGAAACAAATGGATGTGTATGTTCGCTTGAAATCCTGTTATATAAATGTATACGGAATAAACATATTTTATCGACTCTCTGAATTCTCCAGAATAGAATCTTCACTCTAAAGAGTGAAAACTGAGCCGGTTTTGAAAAAGAGTGGCTCAATTTTCAATCTTTAAGAATTAAGGATTGTCCCATCTTTCACTAAATTTCAGCTCACTGTCTTACTAACTCTTACTAATTCTAATTCTCAGTTTAATTTGCTTTTTATTTCTCTCTAGCTTCAAAAATTAGAAAAAGATAGAGTAAATCGAAGCGGGATTAAAGTCAATCTACATTAACAGAATATTAGAGAGAATATTGAAGTTGAGAAGAGCTAACTGAATAATTACTGAGCTAAATAATGCAAGTGCGACAGAATATATTTGTAATAATTTCTTCTATATCTATATTTGTTATCACTTCTTGTTTTGTTACTGTTTTGTGTATTACTTATACTCGGTTTATATTAAAGTTACCTATGATCTCATGGTCTCAGTGAAGCTGCTACAATTGTTATTATTAATGTAAAATGCAATTCGCTGCATATTTTAAATGACCGTTTAAAGGGTGTGTTGGCATGTGGCGTGCGTGTGTACCTGTTGCAGGTCAAGCAGCGGAAGAGAAGCGCGAAAAAAAAAAAGGGAAGAGAGCGGGAGGGGAAAGGAGGGAGGGAAACAGCCGTTCACGGACGGTGCGCCGCGATATCGCGTATCGCGTTAAACGTGGTGCATCCCACGGAGGTTTATCTCTGTCGCGAATATACCAACCTTGAGCTGGCCTAGCATTCCCTGCGGCGGTAGCAGCAGTATCCCCTGCATGAGAGGCTCCTCGGGCTCCATCGCTGGCGATATCGAACATCGGCACGGGTCGGCGCGATGATGCACGATGACGGGTCGCCTCCTCGTGGTCGCGGGCGAAAACCCTTTGTTCCGTCCGCTGGGAAAACACGCTCGCAGCGGGGAAAAAGGGGAGATGAGAGCCGCGCGAGACGAGCGAGCGATCCTTTACTTCGACTTTCACTCCGATCTGCCCGTCTCCGCTCCTCGTCGTCGCTCTCCCCCGGGATACTTCCCCGGGTGTCTCACGCGATCCTCTCGCCTCTTCGTACGCGCGATCTGACAGCTACTGGTACAGTCAGCCCATGGTAACGCAGGACGCTTGACATTTCATGCCAGGCCGGGGAGAGAAAGAGAGAGACAGAGAGAGAGAGAGGAGGAGATGAGATATTATAACACTTCTCGCCAATGTGTGACTACCGCGTATATGTTCTGTGACTACCGCGAACGCGAACGAGAGAATTGGAGAGAATCGTCAGACCAGCCAGTAGATGCAGGACAAGTACTCCGTAAATCCGTATATGCCGATACCGCGCTGTATACGTACGACGCGTATGACGTTTCGCGTATAACGCACAGGGCGACATATGCGCTACGCACCGCGCCGTACGCGTAGCGTACTAGAGCGTGCTTCCCAAACACCCAATTCGTCGCGGGCGGACACGTCTGCGATGGTCTGCTGCGATTGACCGTCGTCCGCACCAACGCGCGGCGGAATAGCACACCGGACTGCACGCGCGCACGCATGATGTCGTTCGAATCGCTGTCCTCAGCGCGGCCGGCGCGGCAGCGTACTCCCGAGCGCAGTATTTACCGTATTTACAACTATAAATATGTAATAAAATTATATAACATATGTTGGAGAAAAAGTCCTTTTTATACACATATAATATAAAGGACCCTTCCGCACGCAATCCACCACGATTATATCATTAACAAAGTTTCAGCTTCAAAGAATCTGAACAATTCGTTTTAATTGCGGCATGATTTTTAACGAAGTTATGAGTAATCAATATCAGAATGTTCCTTTATACTTAACTCGCGAATAGGAACAAAAATCGTAGGAACATTTTTGGAAAACAATTTTGTAGGGAAAGTTGAAAGCTTTCACGATAGGCGCATCGATTAAAAAAATTTTTCTCATAAAATGCACAAAGAATTTAAATAAAAAATATATAGGTTTTTAATTCTTCTGCAATAAAGTTTTTCCATCGTTTTTTCGATTCTATACTTCGGTTCTTTATTCCTGATGCGTAGGCATTTATAATAGAACGCAGACAATGGATGGTTCTTATCACATGCTAACATCGAACGGAGAGAAGTGGTAGACCGCAACGCATTTATAACTTTTCCGTCTCGCCTTTTGCCTTCCGCCTAGAGATATCGAGTAATTACAGATAATATATAATAAAATTGAATAATAAAAAACTCATTTAATCTCTCTTGAATGACTTTTCATTAACATATTCTACTTTTTACGTAGTGCTTTCGCAGCGTTTAAAATTAATTCTGGAAGAGACCAATATGAAATTTTCAAGTCCTTAAACATTTTATTACTATTTTATAAGTATTATTTTATATGTATTATTAATTCTACAGATATTTTTCTTTTATATTGTGAAAGAAATGTTAAATAAGAAATTCTATTTGCTTAAAAAAAGTAATACAAACCGACGAGAAGGTGATTAATATATTATAATGGCACTTTTAATGAAGATTCTTCATCGAAATCTCAAGAAAAATGATCACAAATTTTTCCGTTTGATGTCAAATAATCAGATTTATGCATTTTCACAGTTTTTACCTTGCAAATTTATTTTACGCAAAAACAGTCTTTATCCTTATAGAATAACATTATCTGCAGTTATATTTAAAAAATATGTACATATAGTCAAAAGAGTCAATTTAATATTGTTACGAAATTATCACGAAAATTATCAAGAAAAATAATAATCGAAATCACCTACTGAAAAGGTACATGATATTTCTATCATAAGCTGCAGTACTGCGATGCAATTACTTTTCAGATAATATCACAATACAATATAGTATCTGAAATCTATATTAATTACTACTAAATTAATTACTACAACGTATTGTTAAATAAAACAATGTCTAGTTCGCGAGAAACTCCTTCTATCTTAACACAATCTGAAATAACCATAGAGATGATAATTTTTATCCTGTGGCTATAGTATTTCCGGGTCAAGGAAACATTGAATATTTGACGCATCTTATTTCCCCGTGATGATGATTTTCCAATTCAGTCTAGTTCATGTAGGCCAATGATGCATTTCGTTCCAAGACTTCCAAGCTGTGATGAGATTCGATCGTTCCGCGATAAGTTATTAAAGGAATCGACCTTTTCCTTGATTCGTGATACAAACTACGGAGCCAACGCGTGCTCAGTTTACGATTGCGTTTCGACCAGGCTTGACGAAGTTCCGGTTATATAATGTGATAATAATGAATTGTAAAAGTAATAAACTTATATATTATTAAACAATGTCCTCGCTTATATATCGACCGGTTGGCGCGACAGGCTTCAATACGATCTGTCGATGGATATGATTCCCGTCTTCTTCCTCGCGTGGATCTTAAATTCGGGTGATGCTTTCAATGACTTCCCGTCGCTGATATCCTCTAATGCCTCGATGGGTATGGAAAACTCTCTTCTTCCTTTTTTATATTTTATATCATTTTTTATATCGACACTTTAATATTATATGTTTTAATAAAATATTCTTTGAATCTTGCAGCGGTCGTTATCGACAAGGCTTTCTTCGATAATAAAGCCGAGTATCGCGACATAGTAAAAAATATTTACAATTTTATCACAGCAATTACGAGAGAAGACATTCATATGGCTGATATTGATGTACACGTCTTTCGAGGAACGAAGATACAGAATCTTCGAGGTAAGTAACGAAAATACATTGGATAAATATTTCAATATTATTACAATTATAACGCTGTCTGCTTCAGCTTTGTTATACTGTGTGAGTTATGTGAGTTATACATCTAAAATATTATGAAATATTTATAATATATTTAGCAATATTTAATATATATTTAATAAGAATACGGTACAAACAGTATAGGAATTGTAGGATCATTACACACGAAATTCTTAAACACTATATTTACAAAAACAACTCATGGGCATACCCAGCTCAATACAATTCTTATAATTTTAATAAAAATGAAAATATTATAAAACTATTTTAACTAAAAAATATTCTAACTAAAAAAAAAGTATAGTAAATTTTCTGAGACATGCAAAAATGTAAATTAATTAACACAAAATTGTTAATTTTAACATTTTTGTATATATGTGTGTGTGTGTGTGTGTGTGTGTGTGTGTGTGTGCCTTTGAAGGTCCACTATACATCTTTTAGTAAAAATTAGTATTTTATTTTTTACTGTGCATTTTTTTTATTAAAAAATAATGGAAAAAGAATAATGAAAAAAGAAAGCCGGCTATGCCGAAAAGGAGTTTAAAGGTTAAATGTTTAAATCAGCTTGTCCATAAATCCAAATCAATTAAGTTAAAAAATTTTATTTATATTTAATACACACGAAGATTTTACGGTGCTTTTATCCGTGGCCTCTTGTTATCAAATGTGGAGCCTTCACGATGCAGCTCGTAAAGAGGATCTCATACATTTAGCAATAACAGGTATGTACATAAAAAGAGACTTTTAGGAAAACTGTACATGAAAATTCCTCTTTTATTCATTAAGATAAGAATAAACTTATTAAGCGTTGAATCGCGCAATTGTGTAGTTGGTGACTAACCCGCCAGGTATTTGCAAATATCGTTATCTTGTTCTTCTTAATTTTGTTATCTACCGTCATCCGTCAAATTGCATCGTGTTACGTCAACGTGATACAGTTTGTCTCATTAATTTCGAATGAGACATATACACAGATTGTCTAAAAATAAACTAAACTTTTGCTCTAGAAATGCAGGTACTAGTTGCGCCACTCAGTTATAACGAGCAGAATTCAACATTTTGAACATTTTATTATCGATCGTGCATTTAAATCGGTTCATAACCATTCTTTGCGTAGCGCGTAATCGTTCTTTCGTGAAAAACCGCGATGGAGCAACAAACGCTGTTCTTCAATTTTTGGCTCAAGAAGGCATTGTCGTGATCATCCGCTTTATTCGCCTGATGACTCCCTGTGATTATTTTCTGTTCCCGAAACTTAAAATGCCAATAAAAGAGACTCGTTACAAGGACATTTCCAAGATTGAGGCCACCGTGACCGCAGTACTGAATGAGGTGCCAAAACAAGAACTGAAAAAAGTCTTTTGAAACGCTCATTACTCGTTCTGAACGTTGTATTGCTGCAGAGAGAGCTTGTTTCGAATAAAAAAACGTATTTATAAAAATACTTCTTTTGATTTTTTTCTAGAGCAAAAGTTCGGTTTTTTTTAAACAACCTATGTACATATATATTCGTAGAAATTTTGATGCTGTGCTTCATTACATCGCTAGACTATGTTAAATAGCGAATACAAGTTGTGGTGTATTGTTGATAAAGTCATGAAATATGGTATGTTTTATTTTATTTACTTAAAGATCAGGACTGTCCACGGCTTCCTGATTCGGAGGGTGTGAGTATCCCCTTAATATTGCCAGGCAAAGAATTATCTCAGATCTTCTTCGATATAAGAGCGGTCGACGCTTTGCTCTGGAACAATGTCAACATACTGCACGACGATACTTTCGGTGATGCAATTTAAGCATTAATTGTTTATTTTTCTATCCCATTTTAATCTCCCTTTACATTAATTCTCGGCATCTTCACTAATAAATATACGAAAATAAATTATAAAAATACGTTTTAATTTATGACAACTTATAGATAGGGACACGATCGGCAGAGTCACAAAAGCATTGTCGATCTCATTGCCAAACAAGAAATTTAACCTGGTCTCCAGAGCGTTATTTACTTTTAAGCACGATGATTCTGAACGTAACAGAAGGTACCACATAAAAGACATGCTTCAAAGCTTCCACGTAGAACAATTGGGAAAATGCTTTCTGGTAATCGTCACGATAGACACAGCGGCTGATGTCATGGAAGTTGTAAGATGAATAAAAGCTTTATTTATATTTCGCACTAATTCAAAGTTAGAAATATTATGGTAGTTCATAATTTATTAAGCCCTTGACTAATTTGGCTATAAAATTGATTTTCTAGTATAAATCTTAAAAATGTATCATTGCGCTTTACGTTAAATGCGAGGAATCTTGTTAATTATGAACACACCTCAGACCTCACTTCTATTCTGAGTTTCTCGAGTTTAATTGTAAATTTTACATATTTAGACAAAGTCTTTAAATATGGCCCTACCCGACAGCCAGTGGTTCTATGTCATCACTGATAGTGTAGTACGAAATTCTACAAATATTACCAGCTTCGTCAATTTATTGACCGAAGGCAGCAATGTAGCTTTTATTTATAATGTGACAGACAGCGATACACATTGCAATGTAATGTATTATAATTATTTTTTAATTGTATGTTCAATAACTTTAACTATAATACATGAGATAAACATATATGTAAAAGGACCCTTCTTTCCGACTCACCATTTGTTGCGAATTTTTAGTTGCAATTATATCAATCGATACTGCAAAATTTCAACTTTAAGAATCTGTTTTTTTTTTAAATTGCGGTATGATGATTTTTAACTGCGTTATGATCGAGCAATTAAAATCAGAATGCTCCTTTACTTAACTCGCGAATAATTCAGGAACAAAAAATCATAGGAACATTTTTAAAAAAGGATTTTATAGGAAAAGCTTCAAGCACTTTTACGATAGATAATCGAAAATTTTTGCAAATTATTTTTAGGCATGTGAAAGATTCACAAAATGAAAAGACAATTTTTCATTTTTCGTAACTCGTAATTTTTATTAATATGTAAAAATTATCAAATTCACAGAAATTTAAGAAATACAGTTTTTTTTGCAAAATCCTCTTTTATAATTAAATTTTATTTATTTTTAACGAAGATTATAAAATAAAGGTTCTTTTACGTATATTATATGTGAAAAGACTTTTTTCCCGATCCAATATTTTGAAGAAAAAAAATGAAATTTTTTAGGTCAGTTTAAAATGTCATATCCAAGAGTTGATTATGGCTTTGGGTAACGGTTTAAAAATGTCGTTGATGACTGAAGTAGAATTATACAGTCATATGACCGATGAGGAGTTTGAACTCGTCCGATTAAACAAGCAGGAAAGACGTCAGGAAGTTCTCAAAAGTATTAAAGTTCGGATCTTTGGTTGTATGTTTGATGTCATTCGAATTGATGATGTAGAAGTGATATCTCGGAACTGTTTGACAATCCGCACTGTTATTTTTTACACACACAATCAGATTGATTAAATTTCTAAGAATTAAATTTCTCTGTTCTTTTTTTATTAATCTTGTAGTGTTGTTAGATATAAGATTTAAGAATTTTTTTCTGAAAAATTTGCCTTGTTAATCTTCGCGATCGAGAAATCGCATCTATATCATCCTTTTTAACGGAAGTTCTACACATATTCTATTTTCTACAGATAAAGCTAATCGAGGATACTTTCTCTACGGACGGCGTTTGTAGTAAATGTCTGTTTTGGCGATTCGCTTCGGCCATAACATGGGGAAACTTCTTTGTTCACGGCAAAAACGTCGCGCACTTGATCGAATCGGGAACGTGGATGCCCGTTCTAGGTGCCAATTTTACAGACGTTCTTTTTCCGCACGTAGTGCACGGCTTCCGAGGGATCAGAGTACCGATCGCTACGTATCACGTAAGTAAAGATCTCTTTAATTCTCTGCCCTCAACAAAGGACACCCATACGCTATAGAGCGTCAAATAATAACTGATAATTGAATAATAAATAACGTGCCAATCAACGAGGTAAATCCTTGGTGTTTTTTGTTTAGTTGGTTTGAATTTGGAGAGTCCGTAACAAGATTACATTTAAACCAGTTTAATTCTCTACATAATTATATGTTCGTTGGGACATTAATTCCGTCCTTTTACACAGAATCCGCCGTGGCAAACTATCTCGTTGTCTAACTCTGGCGAAAAGGAATATGGAGGACTCCTTTTTGACGTTGTAAAATATCTGGGGAAAAAACTGAACTTCACTTATACCGTGCTCAGCCCGATGGCCAATCAGACCGTCCAGTTCACTCATAACGAGACTGTAGCCAATGTGGTAAAGCTATGCGTATAACAAAGTTTAAGTTTCATCAAATGCTGATAACATCAACAAAACATTTATTTTTTAAATAATAAAAAAAATCTGAAGTATTATTGTATTATATAAACTACTTACGTAAAACTTCATTTTACGTAGGATCTTCGTTCTAAAGATTATTCAATTGATGCACAGCATTAATTTCATTTTTCAATAATTTCTCGATACTATAAGTGTTTGAAATGTTAGGTGTTAATGTCGACAACGAGAGAAATGCCATCGCAGATAATAGATATGATCCAGGAGAAAAAGGTCCTTCTTGCAGCCTGCGCGTACACCGTGAATGATCGCGGAAAGGAACATATCAATTTTACCTTGCCGATTTTTATGCAGTCGTATAGCTTCCTAACTGCAAAACCGGGCCAACTTTCCAGAGCGTTGTTGTTCACGGAGCCCTTTACTAAAGAGGTAAAATATGTACCTCTGTGTGCCGCAGCAGTTTACGTTTCTAGAAATTGTAGTTTATGTAATTACATTTTATGTATTATGTTATACATATAATAGGATAACATTGTATTTTCACAATGTATTTGTTGCAACGCCTTCAAGCGGGCTAGTTTTGCTTGCAGACATGGGCCTGCCTGGCAGCATCCATTATGATAATGGGCCCGATCTTGTACCTGATTCACAAGTACAGTCCAAGCAGCACGAAGACATCGGGACTCAACTCCTCCTGGCAATGCGTATGGTACGTTTACGGAGCCCTTCTTCAGCAAGGTATAGGCATCCACTTGTTTCTGGAAGTGCTACTTTTATTTCGCTATTATTTTATATGGTGTTTCAGATTAAAACATTTCTTTACAACATTTTTATTCTTACATTTTCTCATTATATTATGAAATATTTTATTTTTTCAAATTACTAGCTTCTTGATGTTTTTGTTGAAGAAAATTCGTTTCATTTATGCTTATTTTTATACAAAAACGAAATCGTACGTTCCTTTCTGGAGGACACATACAAGGGTGTTTACGAATGATTTTAGGAGGAATGTACTTACCCCATTCCGATAGCGCTCGCCTGTTGGTTGGTGTCTGGTGGTTGGTTGTGATGGTCTTGGTAGCAACCTATTCCGGAAGCTTGGTCGCGTTCCTAACATTCCCAAATACGGACACTGCCATGCTGACCATAGATGATCTCATCGCTCATAAAAGTAAATTAACCTGGGGCTTTCCTAATGGCAGCTTTTTAGAGGAGTATCTAAAGAATTCCGATGAAGAAAAGTATCATATTCTTTTGAAGCGAGCTGTAATTCATAATGCGACGCAGCAAGTTGAAATGATTGAGCAAATAAAGGCAGGCAAGCACGTGTTAATTGACTGGAGGAGCACATTGAGGTAATTTCGTAATATACAAACAATCGGTATTTTTTAAAATAAACTTTTGTTTATAAAATAAAACTTTTCTTCAGAAATCTTGTATATAAATCTCTAAATCTTTAGCTTATAAAACGCTATAATTATTTTCTTGAAGAATTTCGTGATAAATGAAGATAGGGTCTTTTAAATATTTCACCCTGTATATATACCGAACGTATAGAATGAATTAGTCCGTCCGATAGGAATGACGATAACGATACATTACCTGAGCAGATTCTTGATGAGAAGTGACCTGTTATTAAATAAGGGATGCGCCTTTTCTTTGAGCACTGATCAATTTATGGACGAGCCCATAGCGATGATTATTGCAAAAGATAGTCCTTACACAAAGATTATCAACGCTGAGTAAGCTAATTAATTTGTCTTATTATACATTAATCTCACAACAGTATTAAAATATTCATACGCTGTTGTAGTAGTTTATCATTATCAATTTTTCTCTAACTTTCTCTAATTTTTTTAATGATATGGAACGCTTTATAATTTTGCATGTTATCTTCTTTGTATTCATTCCAATTTTATATGTACCTACTGCTGAATCAAATACAGTTTCTTAATGATATGTAAATTACACGTCAATTCCATTGGATTTATCATAAAGTTCCATCTTTGCTATCGATTGATCGTCACTTTCTGACTGTCGTAATTCGGTAATAATCCCATCCGCGGGTATCTGCTATTTTGTCAAAGCTAATTATTAACTGAATAAGTGAATAAGCTTTGCTATTCAGGTTACACCGCATGCACGAGTCTGGATTAATGAACAAGTGGATAGCGGAGCAAATACCGGTGAAAGACAAATGTTCGGACAGCTTCTCCAATCAGGCCGTAGAAGAACGCAAAGTAAACGTCACGGATATGCAGGGCATATTTTTTGTGCTTTTCATGGGTAATGTGTCTTTTTTTCTGCGTGCGATACCGCCGTTCGGAGAGTATAACAATAACACCTCGTAGGAGTAAAAGCAATTCCTCGTTGTTATACTTTTTCCAGGTGTGACCGGATCGATATTTCTTCTATGCTGCGAGTTTTGCTGCCATAAACGACAAGTGTCAAAGCGGCGTAAATTGATTCAACCTTTTGTCTCTTGAATCGGACACAGCCGAGGATAGATGATAGATTAAACGCTTCTATACTTCTCGCGAAATAGTTTCACGGCTAGAACATCTGCATGCGCAATTAGACTTTATCGTTGCTTATTATCTAGTGTTAATTGCAGGGACCATTCTCGCTTAAGTATAGAGCGACTCCTCGAGCTACATGTAACGACTGTTTAATTGTAAATTATGTACTTAGACGACACAGATTCTTTGACAGTTACTTATTTTACAGTTAAAGTAAACTTTAGAAAGTTCTTTGCAAATTGATGTAAAGTAGTATACGTTTTTACGCTACAAGTTTTATCCTTGAGACAAAACCAATTATTTAGATGTGATTACGCAGTATAGAACCAACTAAAAAAAATGATTCTTTTATTGTATAAAAAAGAGTATTCTCTATCATTATATTTATTAAAGTAATTACTTAGATGTCGGATAAACATTAGTTTTATGTGTAAATTACTGCTTTAAATAACATTCTGTCTCTCTCTCTCTCTCTCTCTTTGCAATAAAAACAAAAAAATCCTAAAAATAGCAGATGATTCCTTTATTATTACGATTACATTGATCGATCCATCTTTTGTTGTAACCGAACTATTAAAACTGACTAGAATGAATTGCACATCAATTATCGTCAAGTTTGGGTTGAATTGTTCCGATTCAATGTGCTTTTAGAAACGTTCGATGAGTACCGTGGGCAGAGATATATAAGAAAAACGATTTTGCTGAAATATCTAAAAGTTCAGTTTGTCAGATCTAAACATATAGTTGCATTATGAAAATTAATATGTAGGACATTCAAACTGATTGCTAGAATGTCGAAATTTTTTTCAGCATTGCTCATCACGCTTGAGTTTCCTATATAATTATTTTAATGATACGACAAAATTATTTTCAGATTTGTATCTGATGGCTTTTTTAGATACTTCAACAAAATCGTTCTTTCGGTGTGTAGACGAGGATACACAGTATATACGTGACTCTGCGCCAAACTCCCCGGTTTTGATGCCGGTAATAATCCGCTTCGCTAGCGAAATCGGGATGCAGTGGAAGAGGAAACAAAAAAATGAGAAAGAACGCACGCGAAGACATTGTGCTTAGCGTGCGCAGGATAATGATCCGTGTCTCGTACCATTGTTGGCTCGCGCGTCAGATCCTGGATTCTGGATTGCGCATTCAGCAGCCGTCCGCGGCGCGCAGTAAAAGTCACCGCGATATTACGTAATGCCTCATTCGCGGAGATCCTCCTACTTGGATCAGTCGAAAGCAGATCCTCGCCGCGCCTTCACTGTACTCCTTCGTGCGGCCGCCGCCGATCGCCACTACCGTTATCACGCGCGATAATATCCGCATATTTTCGAATATTTGTGGCCGGCACGGATAGACGTGCGATCGTTGCCGATCGACGAAGAGAGGAATTTTCGAGGCTCGTTCGATTAGTGTATTACGAACCATATTACGAACGGAGTCGGTGCACCAACGAGTGACACGCGAAATAGTATAAAAAAAACATACACGAAAGCGCGACATATCTATTTTTAATTAATTATATCACCGATTTTTTATTAGTTAATTTAATTTTGAAATTTAATATATGGTTTTCACTTTATTAATTATAAATGATATTTCAATTAATTAAGTAAAGCGATTAATTTCCCGTAAGTAACGTTTCTTCGAACTTTCTTTAGTTTCAATCAATAATGTTTGAATTTTACATGAGCGATGTTAAAAATGTAGTCAGATAGATGTTCCAATGATTCGACATGTACCTATCAGACACTTACATAAAGGTTATTATTAATCTCAAATACTTTTTAAAATATAATATTATAATTTAACTGTAATCTTTAATTAAATTATAATATTGTAATTAAAAAAAAATCGTTTGAGATTAATAATAATAATAATTGTTATGTAAAAATGTTATTGGGTTATTGGGACGTTTATCTCAATATGATCAAATAATATGAATCCTGAAGAAGTTTATTTACGTCATCACAATATCCTTCGGCCACTGATATACTTACTTCAATGGACTCGTAATATCTTTGTCATTGAATCGTGAATAGAGCACGCACACGCACACATTTCACGTTCCGCAATGGTACTCGAGATCATAATCGTAAGCACAGATGATGCAGCGACATACTTAAGATCCCCTTCTTGTCGAAACGCTGGGAGATAGAAGCCTCTAAAAGAATAGCGACGAAGAGCGGCAGGAAAAGGAATTGACGGCTTGGAGGGAAGCTATGTGCGCAATTTAACGGGGATTACGACCTTAGCCACTTAAGAAGTCGCGGTGGTAATCGGCGGTCTTCGAACGGGCCCCCTCAAGAGCGGGCCTTGAGCGGGCCTCGCGCGCCTCGGACGGGCCCCTTAAGCGGGTCTTAATCGAACCACGGGCCCCGACGAGCTAGGCGGCTAGCGTATCTGATCCGCGCGTTCCGACGTGAGCCAGTCCCGACGTAGAGCGCGGACGACTAAGGCTAATCCTAGCATTAGAACCGGCTGGATTTCGTCGCGGACTCCGTCTCCGGCTCGACGACACGATCGGGAACATCGAGAAGGAAGCAGCGGAAACAATGGGAAAGCCACTGCATCTGATCGTAATATTGCAGCGTACGTAAGGACGTTTCGATTACTTTGCGATTTGAATCAGTAGAGGATTAAGCCGGGAAAGCGATTGTTGTCATCAGCTTGAACATTGAAGCCTCTTTGCGCAACTAAAGCGAAACAAATTAATATGAATAAATCAAAATATTTAATTTAATTTTTTCGATATGAATACAAAAAGAGAAAGTAGAGATAGAGTTGTATCACAGATTTCCAGAAGAGCCATCTCAAGATATGATTGCAGTTCGTGAAGAAACTGACAGTGTTATTCGTGGGAAGACTTCAATTTCAAAGAAACAGATGATATGTACTAACGCGTCAAATCACGCAATGTTATGAATTTTAAAGTTTCCCACTGATGTTATGTTGCAGCAGTATCGTCCGCGTTCGCTTATAGGTACGACCCTTGGTATCGCGCGGACACGCAACGTCCAGTTGACGTGATCACCGATGTCGTCAACGAGCTCGGGGTGAGAATCCTTCAGCAATATTTGACGCGTGGAAACGTCGCGTTCTCGCCAACGGGGGTCGCCTTCGTATTAGCGGCGCTCTATGAAGGATCCGCGGGTAGAGGAGGTCAACAAATCGCCGAGGCCATAGGCCTGCCAGCCAACCGGGATGTTACCAGGATCGGTTTCAGAGATATTCATCGACGATTACGAGTAAGATTCTTGAACTAATAATATATGTATATTCAAGTAGAGAGAAAGCGAAGATGCAAAAAGTGCAAGCAACAAGATCAATATGTACGGTGATCATATTTTCTTAAAGAAAATAAAGAACAAATCTGAAAATTTTAGGGCTTTATTTCTACATGTTTTTAAATCAATTTCTGACTGTCGAGGATCTGTGCATTATAAAATTTAGGACAATAATAGTAGGACAAAATTGAATTTTCAAGAAACAAATAAATGTAAAGGACAGCTATCTGAAATAAAGGACTTTTACAATAAAGGACATACGGTTACTGTACCAATATTTAGGTAACGTCGCGAAGACATCCTGGATATTTTTTTTAGATATTTTTTAGACTCTTTTTGACAAATAATTATTAATCTAATTGTATGATTTGGCATATTTCTGTCGACATTTAAATGTTCATCTCTGAAAAACAAAATTGATAATTAAATACTTAGAAGCTAAATAAATTATTTCCGTGTTCAGATCTATTATGAGAATGTCGATGTTTCGTGAATATTGCAGTTCACTTCATTAGAGCGAGGAGTCCGATATTAAAAAAAATTGATAATTATATAAAAATAAGATTAGAATATATAGTTATAAATGATCAGAGAATTACACACATCAAATTTTTTTACATTGATGTTGATTTCAAGAGCTACCTTAACGCCGACGGCTTCCTAGGCGGTTTGACGCTAAGCAGAGAAAATACCAGACTCCGTCCCGAGTATGAAGACATTCTGAGATTTTACGGCTTCGATCTATCGAGTATTGAGCAAGAAGCGAACGTTACCGTTAGCATGGAAGACTCATCAGGTATAACTGAACTTCCGACATCCACGATCGGCTCAAGCATGCCATCAACAGAGATGGCAAACGCTGAGAATGTGCCGGACATGACGACGACAACATCAACGGGTGCAATCACGACGCTTCCTCCGGCTGGTGCGGAAACAACAGTCGTTCCATCGACCGCAGCGGGAGTTACTCAGCAAACTGTCACGATGGCACCGACGGGTGCAACCGACGTACAATCGACATTGGCTCCGGTCACCAGCACCGGAACAGTTATCCAAAATACGTCACCGACGCAATCGACAAATTCCTTAACGGCGGTTACTTCCGGCGAAAGTGTTCAGTCGACACCATCCGCTGGTGCGGAAACTGTCGCGGGTTCGCCGAATACGATTACTCCGATAGTAAACACGGACAGTCGAATGATTCCGACTACAACTGACGTGGTCACCGTCGCGGATAATCAGGGTCAGCAAACTTCCCCAACAATCACCGCCGGCGATACTGCAACGAGTGCTAGCGTTTCTAACGAGAGCGTTCGGCCATCGACAGGCGCCGGAATGACAACAGCAGCTGTGACTGCAGATGCTGATGTGGCGGTATCGATGAGTACTGATGCTTCAACTTTCACTATGAATACTGAGGTGCCAATGACACTAAATACGTTGAGTTCGGACTCGCCGGCTACAATCGTCATGGATCCAAGTACTGACGCATTGGTAGCCGCGAGTTCAGTCGTCGTCAACATGACGCCCGCTAATACAACTGTTCGCAACGCGACCTTGAGTACAGTTACCATGAATTCGTTAACTACTGTGGTACCAGCGATATTGAATAACGCGAACGTGACTATCTCGAGTCCCGTTACCGAAACGACGGTGGTGAACGGCGTTATTTCGCAATCGAATACCGAGATATCGACGGATACTCCGATCGAGAATACTTCAGGAACTGCGAATAACCTCGCAATGACGACGATAACTAATATAGACGGTGCTGTCGCAGTCAATTCTCTAACGACCGTGGTAGCGCCTGTTTCAGCAACAAACGCAGACAATCCTGCTGAAAATAACTTCGCGGTCGTGAATTCTACGATGAGTTCTACAGATAATCCAACGGCCGCACCTCTTGTGGATGAAAATACAATTTCGAATCGAAAGAAGAAAGATATAATTAATCTGATAGATAGTATAATTAACAGCAATACCGTTAAAGGTGACTCACGGGACAGAGCGCCGAATCTTCGTAAACGCAAAGCGAGAAGCCTACGCGGATACTTCTCCAGCTATCCAGGTACGTTTAGTCAATGAATATCTTTTTCGAATAAATGTTGCTCGTATTACGAATTAAAAGAGCTACGAGTTAAATCTTTCTCTTTAGTGAAAAAATTTTGTCAAAATTAGTTTACGTTTTGGAACACTTTTCAGCGAAATTTTAGCGATTTTTAGCTGAAAACTTTATAATATTTTCAGCAAAATTTCAGATTAATTTCAGCAATTTTTCTGTATGTTAATTAAAAAAATTTACTTTTAGTGCAACTTTAGTAAATTTTTAGCAATTTCGCTGAGATGTTCTAAAACATGGAATAATTCCAGCAAAATATTTTCACATCATTTTAATTAGTTCTGTAGGAAAATTTCAATATTAAATTATTTTTATAGCAATTGCTATAAATTATGTAATTACATTTATACCAAATCATTATAGTATTAAACGTTTTGTTAAGAAAAAAAAATAATATAAAATTACATTGCATCTATATAAGATTAATAAGAAAGAATTCTTTCCACAAATAGAAATTGCTAAATAACTGATGGAATTCGATCTTTTTTTTTTTTTTTACAGACGAAGGTATTTGGATGCAAAATCTAGAAATTTGGAAGTCGTATAATACAGTAAATCCGAGTGAATCCTCCATAGGGGATTCATCAGCGGAGATGTCGTTTTTGGTGAACGGTTGCGATGTTTCCTCGGTATCAGCTTCGAGATATATCGCCGTGTTGCCCTTCGCGTATTTCCCATCATTGCAAGCAGTCGCGCTCGAATTTCCTTTGGACGTAAGTCTGTGTGAAAGTTCAATATGATTTATTAATCCATTTTTTTCAAAACTTGTTGGAATTAATTTATTTATTGATTTATTAATCTTTAATTAAAAATTTTTCTAAATCTTAAAAATCATAGTTGTTGGATCTTATGTTGAATCTTAGAAATTAGACATAAATTTTTCTAAAGTAACTTGGACTACAACCGAGCAATGCAAAGAATCTCTTATTTTCTTAATATTCAAGGATCCACGATACAACATTATACTTTTCATGCCGACTGACAAAACGGACACGCTTCGACTGGCGAGGGATCTTAGCGGAAAGTCATTGAGATTGTTGAGGAAGCGATTACAGCCTACTTGGGTCAGGGCCACTATACCTTCGTTCATGCTGCGTGGTTTCGTCACATTGACGTCATTTTTGCAAAGGGTAAGTGGATAACACGTCCTCTTTGACGTCAATGTCCGATCAATGCCAAATGTAGACATGGAATAGAAAAATATACTCCGGATTTACAGTCAACCGCGCATGAAGGTGTCAAGTAGTTCTCCACAGTTTTTACAGTTTCCCGTTTTTGCAGACTTTTTTATCTCAAGGATTCATTAATATAATAATGAGAAGCTTACATATGTAGAGACCTGAAATAATTACGTAACATCAACTAATATAACTTACGTATCTTTGCTTACTCGTTTTCCGAATTATTTCGAATGATTTTCCTAAGGCATCTTATACAATCTTGAATATGACAAAAAGACATTGTTTCGACGTTTCGTGAGTACGGAAAGTCGAGATTGAGGAAGGACGAATCAGGATTATTATCGACACCTGTGCGTGACTGATGTATATTTGCCTCGATATTTGCGTAATCTCTCCAAGATTTTCCTTTATTTGCCTGTTCCCTTCGTAGCTGGGTATCCTGGATGTGTTCGAGCCAAGAGTAGCCGATTTATCGCCCATGACATCCGATCTCGGTGTATACGCTAGAGACGTGCAACAGAGTATAGGGGTCAATATAAGAAATTATATGAAACCCGACCGGACCCATTCTCGTGAGTCGTCTAATGTCGTTCCACCTCGAAGGGACTATTATCGATATCTACCGCCAGGTTCTTTTTACTCTCTTACGCTTTTCATGCACTGTCGCACTCTCCTTTCAATTACCCCATAACGGTAATCGTTTCCACGCGTGTAATTGCATTCCTTGCTCTTTAATGCGGACATCCTGAATTTAAGAGTCCAATTTATACAACTTTACGCGTTACATGTATAATCATTAGCATCTGCGGTATTCCTTCATTTCTTAAATATATATTTCACCCTTTTTTTCGCTTCTCCTGCCGCTTGTAAATTGCTTCCTTCTATCCTTAAGTGTATAATAACGTAATATAGCGCTGTCAGTACGAGTCAAACGTCCTAGTATCCGTTCGTCGATAAAATGCACGAGTTCATTTTGATTTTTTACTTTTTATATATTTAACATTATCGGATATATATATTTTACACATTACATCTTATTATTATTCATTACTTTGCCACGTTCTCCATTCTCGATACTACATCTTTCACGTGATTGTATTAAGTATTGCCTGACAATTTGATACGAGTAATCAACTTGATTCCCTAGAATTAATCCATCTTAGGTATAGCATTCGAAATTAGTGAGCGTTCCGATACGTCTCGAGCGCTCGGTTAATCAAACGTTATTGGCACTGAATGGCGTTTAGGTGATTTAATTTATCGTGGAAGAGAGAAACAAACAACGAGAGGCGGAATAGCTCCGCCGTGTCGGAGATAATGTTCGAAGAAATAATTACGTTGACGCAATATCCGGTATTAACGAGTGAAATTACGAAGTTTCACGCTCGCGGCTCGAGTATCCTCCAGAAACATAATTTGCGCACATAATTTGCAAACGACGGCGGCGACAATGTTTCCCTCTACGCGTAATAAACACGCGTCTCTAACGACGGCCGGCTATTAAGTGCTACTGCTGCCACTCATTGTCAGTCGTTTCTTCACTTTCTTTTCTCTCTTTTGCGCTTCCGCTTGTTCCGTCGTTGCTTTTTCTCACGTTCCGCTGAATCTTCATTACTTAACGCCGACCGTGCGTCGTTAACGATGACCGTTGCTTCGAAAACACTTATCAAAGATTTTCAAAATTACTCGACAATCTTTTCTTTGTTTAAGATTGAGAAATGATCGGAAACAAATGTCTAGTAATAGCTAAATTACATCTTTACGATAATTGTATGGGTATAAGTCATTATCTCCTCAATGTATCGTTAAATTACAAATTAATTTAGCAGATAATTCAGCTAAACGCTTTTTTTTTTTTAACGCATCCATGAATTCTACGTAATTTACAGGATTTAATCTTGGAAAATTATGACGTGTAGCCGCGAGATGTAAATGGACCGTATCTGCGAAAATACGAGTTTCGAGGACGAATAGCTAAGCAATATTTATTTTCACGCCACTAGGCCTCAAGCAAAACTATCGATTACTGTTGGAAATATTCTCAGTATTGTTGTTCAGTTCACTGAATTTAATTGCTGATATCCTGCTCAGATCCGTAAAGGAAGTCAATAAAAGACCTTGCGCCATCACTTTTTACATTCACCGAGGATTCCTGAATCGCTGTGGTGTTGCAGCGTTTCTATATTATTTTTCGGTTACTTTTGTTGCGCATACATTGATTTTCAAATAAATACAAATTATATGATACAATGATAAAATATTTATAAGATGTGGGATTATTATGATTTATACTTGGAGAGAGTTTCAATTTTCTATAAAACATTATTGAACTGTATCTATTCAGTTTCTTTAACGGAATTCTTTGTTTGACATATAGTTAAAATGATAGTTAAATAAACCTTGTATCAAACTAATAATAATAGTCATGTAATAAAATTAAATTATGTTTTTACTGCACTATAGTTACTTATTTCCGTTGTTTGTGATATTACGTTCTTTTCATATAAAAACTAACTGTCGTAAAAATACGGTGAGAAGTTTTGTCAACTCAGTGAAAGGAAGGACGCATCCGAAGTCAATGAACTGGACATCTGGAAATCTAAAGATTGATCTGCGTCAATCTGCAATGCATCTGCCACTCGTTTAAGAGATAAGAAATTAAAATGCTGTTTAAACTAAAACGGATTCTGAAATGCAAATTACTATTAACAATTTTTATTTGATCTTAGAGTAAAGCATAATAACCTTTTGTCTTCTAAATATTTTATCATTCTATCATATAATTCGCATTTATTTGAAAATCAATATATACACGACAAAAATAAAATTGTTTTCTTATACATAATACATACTATTTTATTTAAATCTAAGAGTGAATTTATGCTTTGACAGAAAAGCAAAAAGCAGAAACGCAGCAGCCGATCAAAACTTGCGCTGGTAGAAAACAGTAGAAAAAGCCGAAATCAGCGATTACCAGTGCGAGTTCTAATTGGTTGCGGCTTTTCTGCTTTCTGCTTTTCTAGACTTGAACTCATCAAAAAACTGTGTTCTGCAAGTGCTTTAAAAAAATCTTGTGATCATAAAAAGGATTGTAACAACGTATATATAGTTTCTCTTCTAATGTACAAAAAATTCAGCCTTATTTCCTTGCAAAAACTCCCTAAACACATTAACTCCAAACCTCTTATATTTTTCCATCGTAATTTAAACGTCTTCCTAATTCCTCTGCACTAAGTAGAATAGCACAAAGTATTATGCTTTGTATTATGCGCGGCTAAACTGCTGCATTTTTGCGCGCACCAAAATTTGCAAAAGAATTTTAAACTATAAATTAAATTGTGTAAATATTTTTTTTGCAAATTTGTCATTGCTAAATAATGTTATCGCTTTGGAAAGTACGTGATTTTTCGTTTCGTCTTTTACAATATGTAATGTGCATATTACAAAAAATATTAAAAATATTTTTAAATATTATTAAATATTATCATTAAAAACATTTTTAATATTTTCTGTGACTAAAATAATTCTTCGTAAAAGTTTGTAAGATAATTATGAATTTTTTTTAGGTAATGGTCTATTCGAAAGAGCCGGACCCGAACCCTTTACAGCTTTGCATCCCTTCCTTTATTTCATCGTCGACACCGAGACTTCAGTGAGTTTAATCGCCGGTCGAGTGGACGATCCGCTTAATTCGAGAATATTATAGGAATATGATTTAGATTACTAAGGTTTAAATAAACACTCGTTTATTTGACGACACTTATAAATAATTCCATAATGTGGACTTCTCCTATTAGCTCGCACACAATTATTATCAAGTACACGCAGTAGTTAATATTGTGCTCTGTACAAATTCCTATTTGTAAATAAAGAAATATTAAAGATAAAAAAGTAGCAGTGAGCATAACTTGAAATGTGTAGGATTGAGCATTTGGAAGATTATTTCAAGCTGTCTCACGCTAAAGAGCGAAGGGCAAACTTTTTATACATCTTGCTATTCAATAAAAGCAGATACTTACATAGTTTGTTTCGAAAACTACGAGAATCGAAACTGCAATTATTATGAAAAAATTCATATTTTTCATTGATTTTCTTTAGCCCTTTTGCCCAAGTTACCGGATCGACAGTATCTGGTTTATCATTAAAACTGATATTACGACAATGGATATGTAATTTACAAATTTACGATTCTTTCGTAATTTTTTCAGTGTGTGTGTGTGTGTGTGTGTGTGTTTTGTGTATCGTATTTTATATTCGGATCAAAGTGGCAAGAATGATAACAATGTGTCTTCGAAATCTATCGGACTACTCATTTGATCTTTTTATTACACAATTGAGACTTCCCTTGTTTATTTAGTCTTAATCTAGCAAATATATTATTTCCTTACGTACTTTTATGTATAAATACAGTTCAGTGTGCTGCTACAATGCACGATATTTCACATACGTCACTAATATATATGTATGTTCGATAACTCCCGGCGATGATCTTGTTTCACTTCTAGTGCCGGATATATTTTTTTCATATACATATAGCAACCAGGATCTTTACTCTGTGAGCGGCAGTGTAAATGCAAATAAATAAATGCAAACGATATAGTAGTCGTATTTTCAATTCGCGTGAAAATTCTAGAGTAATGTCTTTTGATATCGCACGAGACGACACTGCGAATCGCTTATTTGCGCGATAAATTTCGTCCGAGTTCGAGAGTCGCCTTATGTCATCTCCCTGCGTTCGTCGTCGAGTACATCAGGTTACGTTCTTCAAAATCCATGGTACAAACTTCGATATTCGCGTGCAGACGCCCGGTAAGTTAGCCTCCGCGCAACCGATGCCCCAGGATATGATACCAGCGAGGAAGTACCTGCCATCCTTGCCGCGCACCTGGAGAGGTCCTCCGGAATCGCCCTGTACGATGTAAGAACGTAAAAGTCTCTCAGTAAAAATTTAGAACGTGAACAACTAGTAGTTAGGTTTAAGTACTCTTACGCACGTACCTGGCACGAATCCTGCCCACCAGTCTCGTAACCGGCGCAGAGGAAAATATCCGGTATGAACTCGTGTCTACCGGCCCTCAAGAACATTGACTTGCACCTGTCATTGCTCACTATCGGCACGGAGACCTTGAAAGAGAGAATAATAAAAGTCGGAGAAATCCGAACGCGTGTACATCACCAAAGATGGTATTAATCGTCAAAACGCGATAATTACTTCCTGCAACACCGAGGGCAACGTTCCACCCTCGCTCAATCTTCCCCAGCCGGTGACTGTCGCGTTCTCTCCGATCAGGAGGTCGTCCGTGGCCGGTAGGCAGATAGGTGAGATGTGTGCGGCAAACGTCAAGGAACTTTCAAGGCGCACCAGCGCGAGATCGTACTCGTACGTGAAGAAGTTATACTTGGGATGCACCACTTTCTTGGCGACCCCGCGTTCCACGTAGGGCAGTCGCTCCTGTACCGACGAGAAGTCGTACTCGCCGACTCGTATCCGGATTTGCGACGTCAGCAAACTGAAACGGAGAAGACGCATTTGACGGTGCACGTCGCAACTGAAGGACGATGGGAAATAACGTAGCGTACTCACTCGTCGACGCAATGGCCCGCGGTGGCGATCCAATTCTCGTTGAGCACCGCCCCGCCGCAACGGTGAGTACTCGAAAAACCGAAGAAGGAGGTCCTACGTACGGACACCTGCCAGGGCCATCGGCCGAACGACGCGTCCTTGCCGCCGACAATCCTCGTTTCCGGCCGCGGGAATAACGGTGGCACGCCGCACTGCATGTTCTTGCTCTCGTCAGCGGCCGCGACCGTCATCACCGAACCCGTTCCCTTCTCGCTTGCCGTGGCCACTTCGGTGGTCGACAATCCTTGCGTCGTAGTGACGCTCGTGGCACTCGTGCTGCTCGCGCTGGTCGTGCTGCTCATGGTCGTCATCGTTGCCGTCGTGCTCGTCGGACTGATCGTACCGCTGGCGGAGGACGACAACGTGGACGGTGTCGTGCTTTGCATTGTGGTTTTCTTCGTGGGCCGTGGCCTAGTTGAAGTCTCCAAGTGGGACGTCGTTATGTAGTGCGCCGAACCCAAGGGCTTCTGATACTCGGTGTTCTGCCACAGAATGGAAAACATCAGGGGACCAATAGTTAACGTTAACAATGTTATAGATGGGATTCAATTGTTTTTTCTAAAATTTTAACGATGTATTTATTAATACTTTTATAAATAAGTATCAATTGATAATGTAAGAATAAGTATAAATATATTAATATTTCCCATAATCGGGAGAAATCTTATGTTTAATAATAATTTTTACGAATTTTATATAGTTCGTCTTTACGCTTTCGACTTTATGCGTTCATGATTTAAACATGAGAACAAGAGGAAAGAATAATTATGGCAGCGTTAATTAATTAATTCCTATCAAGGAGAGAAAACATCTGTATACCTGTTGCGACTCGGTTGGCTTTAGGCTCGGTCGCGGAGGAAAGTTTTCGGGGCCATTCTGAAGAAGATTGGGACTGTCGGTCCAGTGAGGTTTCAAGGACGGTCTAGGTGGTGTCCAGCTGTTCGACCAGTAATGAGAACTCGTACCTACAGACGGAATTCGTACGATTTCCGGCACAGTAATCGCGGTTATCGGTTTGGATGACGAAGACGATGACGAAGACGATGACGACGACGATGAAAGCGAGGAGAATGATGTTGGCAAGGATGAGGACAACGATGACGGTTTCTGTTTTGTGACAAATGCCGGTTCCGTAGTTACTTGCCAGTGAGAGGTTTGTGGCACGGATCCGGCTGCGCTAGAATGAAAGATAAATTTTAAGTTGGGCTCGCGCGATACACAATACACGTAAATAAACGACTGATATACTAATAATACAAATACATTTACTTTACTCGCGATAATAAAGATATAATGCTACAAATATTTTGTATCATAATACATGTAAAAGAAACTATTGAAGTAGAAACGATAGATTTGCATATGTATATATTGTGATTTGAATCAGACAACTTGAAAACTAGTTGCATACCTGGTGGAAGGCTGTTTGGCATACATCGGCCTGACGGTCGATGTCGTCGACGTCTTCGTGGATAGTACCCAGTTGGGCCTCGAGATAAAATTCGGTCTATGATCTGGCTGACCGCTTACTGGTCGATAAGTGGTCGTTTTGATTGAAAAATACGGTTTAGAGAAGTCCGTCGACGATGGTTTTGACTGTGCTGGCTTGGTCGCCCAGTGCGGCCGTTCAGTGTGCACGAAATTCAAGCCCGGATGCGTCTCTTTCCCCGTTTCCTGGCGGAAAATCGATATTCCATTAAACTCGCTGCTTACATCGTGCCTAAAAGAACTTTTTTAGCTGCGATGTAAATATTTCCTTAACTACATGACTGCATAAAGTCAAAGGAATATTTTTATTAAATTTTTATCACATAAATATTAATCTTAGTATTCCTAATTTGTTAATAAATAGAATGTATAATTTTGACAATAATTAGACAAGACAGTTTTAATTACTTCTATCTTCACATAATTTTATTATGATTTAAATAATTTCTCAAAATAGGTGCCTGACTGATCCAAGGAAAGTGAACTCTCGACGACAAGAGAAGGAATGTTATACAAGAAATCCTTTTAAAGTTATCTCGCTGAATCACGAGTTATAATCATAGAATCATCATGAGAGTTACAATAATAAATTTCTTTCCTTACGCTTTCAATGACGGAATTGACATTCGGTCGATTTATCGTTTCCTGCACACTGAGATCAACATCTTCAGTCTTCCCATCGTCCGGTCTCGACTCAAAGGGCCTTTGATTGCCCGGTTTACCCGGTTTGCCCTGTTTGTTGGGCTTGCTCAAAAGGCCACTTGAATCAACATCATCATCGGCGTGCTCCTTCCCTGGCAAGCGTACTATTAAAGTGTTGTGTGTCTCCAGCTTGTCCTTGAAACCTGGTTGGCTTAGAATGGACGATGGATTGTCACTCGGCGTTCCATCGTCCGGCCTCGTCTTGTGATGATGAGAATGACCCGGGTGATGACCCGGTCTCTTTGTTTCCTGCGGTCTTCCTTCCGCCCACGTGTTCGTAGACGCGGAGGACACCGCGGGGGTTTGCAATATGTCGACGTCGTGCTCGGATGTTGGTTTGGCGTGCGGCCTTTTCTGCAAAGGCCTTCCGACACCGTGCGAATATGCAGGTTTCATCGGTCTAGTCGAGCCTCCGGAGCTGTGAGATCCCGAGAAATGATGGAGATTCGGTTTCGCGGTGGTTGACGCTGTCAAGGAGAATCCCAAGAGGGAAGTTGACGTCAATCTGATGGTCTCGTTCCCGGTTGGCTCCGCCAACAGTAAACCTGGCCTGAGCGTACTCGTCGTACCGTCGTGTTGCTGCTGGTGCTGCTGCTGGTGCTGGTGCTGCTGATGATGATGATGAGGATGATGAAACGTGCCTATCGTGTTCACCGTCGTGTTGTGAACGCAGCAACTGCCGAACATGAAGGTATCCACGCACACACCCACGTGCGTCCCCTCGGACTTGATGCACTCCCACACAAACATGCACGTGCCTTCCTTGCTCTCGGAACCGGGCACTTTACAGGGTTTCGGAGTGATTTTGTAACCTGCGTGAGAGACGGAAAAGAGATCGACTATTTCAGAATTCTCATCTTTTTACGACCGCTGGAGTCTTGAAACCTTGGTCTACGTCGGTATTAAACAACGCGAGCCGACAAAAGACGAATATCTCATTTACTTCCTGCGTGCGTTCTTCGTTAAACGTAACTGACTTTAATCTCACGTCTCCATTACATACGTATCTCACGTCAGAGTCCGAAGTCCGACAGCGCTGTAACGTTAAATGCGCGATGAAAGCACGCTAACGTCGATCATACTGTCTCGGTGAATTTAACAACTTATAATTTCGTGAGAGACCGGTGTTTCTATGCACGCCCTCCGAAAAATCGGGCGATACCTGCCCCGAGTAACGAGATTACATGTATCGAGCTTGACGGGCGTACTAAAGGATGATGTTGCGTGACATCATGTCGCACGATAAAGCACGATAGGTCATATCATGCTCGACAATTAGACTGTCTTATACATGTTATACATGAGGTCTACCTTGCCGTCAAGTTCGGTGAAAGTGTACCACTTGTCGAAGCACGCGTGAGAGATCGTGTAAAAAAAAATGAAACTTAATAACTGGAAGGA